GAAAACATCGTCACTTGTAGATGAAAAATCGAGCTCGGGGTAGGTTGATACTGGCCTGTGCCGACTCGATCAACGTGTCAGCTAGTGCTGATGCGACAGAACTTAGTCCTTACCCACCGTGGTGCCCAGCCACAGCAGTAACCTCTGGGTGACAATTGCAACTTCTAGCGCCTGGGCAGGGCGCGAACCGCCGACCCCTTGGATGAGAGGCCGACACATTACCACTGTAGCATGGAGGCATTTCACTTAGTTTAGTTCAGTTAGATTTGCGAAGTCATGCTTTGCCCGGGCCTTTTCTCTAGAGTGGCCTGGCCTGTGTCAACTATTACCAGTTAACTCATGTGTTTTCTTTGAACTGTATGCTTATCGTGGTGGCTGAATTACAAGGAAGCGATCCAGCTGCCACGAAGTAAGCATGTGGCATACCCTTTTTACCAGCCCGGCGACTGTAATGGGTGGTCCGTCTTAGAAATTGTGTGCGTTCACAATTCTGCAAGTATTGTAACAGGGTGGTGTTAGACTCACCACAGTGTTTGCATAACCTGGCAGTCTTGTCATCAATAATTTGCCAAGCACATGGGTAACCTAGTCTTAATCTGTGAAGTATGACCGGTACCTCTTTTTGTATTAGGAGGAAGGGCCAGTGGCTCATAGCTTGTAGCATCTGAGTACCACTTGGCAGCGAGTGACTTTATGGCATTTTCTCTTATGTGCTCCCCAGAGGACTGCACGTGCTGTAGCTTTGGTACTTCAACTTAGTTTCCTTCGGCTAGGTTAAACGATCATGGAGGATGGGGGCATACCCCTGGCCTTTTCAACTAGTTTGTCAGCAAGCTCATTCCCTTGAATGTCAATGTGGCTTGGGACCCAGTTTATGATGATTCTTCTACCCTGACTGAGTATTCTTTGGGCTATGGTTAGTACAGTTGTCAGAAGGTAGGTGTTGTCTTGGGGTATGATATGCTGTATCTGTCAATGGTTGCTCTAGAGTCTGTGTGAATGACATGTCCAGCCATTAGGGACGCATGTGTCAGGGCTTCCATGATCGCAACCGTTTCAGCTTTGAGCATTGAAGCATTGTCAGTGACCCTAATGGATGCTGTGGTATCCCTTGTCGCGAAGCCAGTGCCTGCAGTGTGGTTTATGGGAGATCCATCCATCCGTGTAGTAGGTTATGCTACCTGGAGTAGTTATTTGTGCAATGACCCTTTGTGCTTGTGCCTTTAGGCTAGGCATGGAATATTGATCTTTTCTCATTGTAAGGTTTAGGATTGAGAATTCAATCATTTCGTTTGCCCACGGCGGGGGTTCTTTGTAGTCAGGGTGAAGGGAGTCCATACCCTTGGCAAGCAGTGATTCTTTTAGTTGAAAGCGTATCAGTACTCTGGCTTTGTGTGTGAGCCAAGAGTTGTTCGTAAACAACTGATAGTCTTCTTGTAGGCGTCTGAGTACTCTTTGTCTTTAAGTATAAGTTTCTGGGTGCCTGCAAGAGCTTGGAAAGAAACTGTGCTGCCATTGGATCAATTCGGGTGTCCAAGGACAGTAAATCAACCTCCATAACCTTTGTCCATCTAGGAGTTCCCAGAATGATCCTGGCAGCTTCATTTTGTATCGTTTCCAGTTTTTCTTTTAATGTTGTGTTGGAAGCAATGAGGGCGACAGAAGCATAATCAATGATAGGACGGACAGCATGTACATAGAATTATCTTAGTACTTTTTGTCCTGCTCCTATGTGTCTCCCTGTCATGACTTTCATGACTGATAGTCTTTTCTTGGTTCAGTCGAGCAGGTATTGGATCTCCTTTTTGAAAGTGAGTGTGTGTCCTATCCATACACCAAGGTATAGGTAGTCCTTCACTCATTCCAGATCCATACCCTGAAAAGTGAGTTTTTTGTTTCTGACATTAGTTCTCAGAGGCATAGTTTTTTTATTTTGTTGCCGATATTTTTAGACCCGTCTTACAACACTCTTCAGACGCAAGATTCAGACAACGCTGAGCTCTAGTTAGGCAGTGGTTGCCAGAGGCTATGATTGCCAGGTCATTAGCATAAGAGATGATCTTGCATCCCTCTGGTAGGTGAATGTTGAGTATGTTGGACATAAGGGTGTTGAAAAGGGCAGGACTGAGAACCCCACCCTGAGGCGTTCCATTCTCAAGTGGCATGTGTTGTGAGAGGTGGCCTTGAAATCTGACATTTGCTGATCTATTTTTAAAATAGTCAGCTATCCAGGCCAAGAGTCTGCCTTTGACTCCTTTGTGGATAAGGGTTTCCTGAATGGCAAGGGGGCTTGCCAGTCAAAAGCCTTCTTCAAGTCTAGGAATACAACCACAGAGGGTGAGGTGCATATTGTGCTGGAATGAGGAAATGCTGTGTGTCGTGCTCTTACCCCTTGTGAACCCGTGCAGATGTTCATGAGGGGGTCCCGTTTTCCATCGGAGCCTGTTAAGTACCATCTTAGCTGTTTTTCCAAGGCAGCTGAGAAGAGAGATGGGACGGTACTTGCCTGGCTCCTTTGGTTTTGGGATGGGAACTATTGTGGCTTGTTTCCAGCTCTGAGGCAGTGTGGCAATTTGCCAGGACTTGTTGATGAGCTGCAAGAATGTAAGGTCTCCTGCCAGACCTAAATGTGATATGATGGGATGGGAGATCCCATCAGATCCCGGTGCCGATCCAGAGCTGGTTTTATATGAATTTCTTAGTTCCAGGAGAGAGAATAAGGCATTCGTGTCATCGGGTTTGAGTGCCTTGTCTCTGATGAGAGCAAGCCTACCTGGACTTAGGTTTTGCTGTTTATCCCTCAGCTCTAGAGGCAGGATGTTGCTGCTGGTTCTGGCTGAGAACTCAAGCACCAGTCTCTGAGCCTCTGACTGTGGGTCATGATGCGTGCACTTCGGGGTTTGGCGGCTTGTCGCTTGCCTGACCCGTTTCTACAACTCTATAAGGCTGGTCTGTTGGCTAAAAGTCAGGCACCATTCGAACCACTTTTCCTGCCTTACTCTGTTGGCAATTTCCTTGGCATCCGCAACAGCTTCCCTCAGGAGGGCAAGATTGTCGGGAGTTCTTTGCTGTCGGAAGTTTTTTCTGCACATGTTGACTTTGTGGTTGACCTCTCTGATCTCGTCATTATAGTACCAGGCGTCTTTGTGAGTTCTGGACCATAGATGAGTTTTGGTTTGTGATGCGGCCTGATTTATGGCCTGGATTAGCCTTGCCTCTAGAACATCCACATTTTCATTGTTGTGGGGTTCATTGTCTCTCAGACAGTGGGCCAAGTCTTCCTGGAAGGCCTTGTCTGTTTTCCATTTAGGAATGTGATGTGGTCTTTAGGCTGGATCAGCATCCATGAGGGTGGTGACTATGCCATAGTGATCACTTGTAACCGTATCATCGACACACCACCAAATTCTCTCCACCATTATTGCAGTGGGAAAGGTAAGGTCCAGGATCCCTTCACATTCGTTGGTTCTTGGGTGTTGAGAAGAGCGATCTCTGGGAACGTGTCAAGCACCTCTGCTATATGAATGCCTGCTGTGTACGGCCTTTTGCAGGATTCAGCATGGATAGATGTGCATTGAAGTCTTCCCCTATGATCACTCGGTCTTGTGCTGCAGTAGCACAGACCTGGTTTAAATCTAAGCTCTCACACAGTGGTTTGCTATATACATTGTGCATTTTCAGTGGACCACCAGGCAGATGAATCTCAACTGCAAGAGATTCGTCGCCATCTTCACAGTGTGGCGGGTTGGCTATTAAGGAGCACGGGATAGGCTTTACCAGGGTCATCAGGCCTCTAGCACCATCCAAGTTTGGAGTGGCGAAGACGTGATAGCCTGAGAAGCAAAAAGATCCCATAGTTAGTGTCTCCTGGAGCTTGACTACGTCAACGCTCCTTGCTCGCACTATTGACTGGAGAAAGGATTTTTTTTTCTATTATAGCTACAGATATTCCACTGCAGAATGCTTAGATTGTGTGCCATGATGGTTACTCAAAGTCACTTACATCATACTCGTCTCCAGCTTCAGAAGCCCCAGTGCTGGTGGCATCTGATATGTATAGATCCTCGTTGATTGAGGATTGTACATTTTCCTCTAAGTTTGGGTTAAGGGTCTACCAAGAGAAGTAGAGCCTTGATTAGAGGTGCCACCTCGAGTCAAGGGACCAGACCTTGGCTGTACAGACTCGGCCTGTAGTGAGGGCATCTCCTGCATAGTTTCAGTTTGGCCTGACAAACTAGCTGGGTTTCACTTGATGTGTCTCATGAAGCTAGCCTGCCATTCGAAGATTTAGGAAGGAGAGTGCGGCTCTGCTTCGGTTTGGAGGCTTCGAGCTTCCTTCCCTTCAGTGCTGCAACAGTTTGGGTCATTGCCGTCATGGCGACCTCGACTGCCTTCTCCGCCTCCTCACTGGTCCTCCCCAAGGCTGTTGCAACTGCAGAAATTACAGCACTCAACAGGAGTCATATCCTTCTCGTCAAAGGTCGGGGAGTCTTTAGAGTTCACTCCTTGAGTAATATTTAATATAGCAAGATAACCAGAAATGAGACACACTACTGAAAGGAACGCTGAAACATGAGGGTAGCTGTTCGCAGTGTGAATGCAGTAACAAAAGTTAGAGCAATTAGGGCAGGTAATGATCAGATTATACGAGGACAACTAGCACAGCACAGTCACCGTGACATGATGTCCGTCCGATATCGAGTCGCCGCTGCCATACAAGTTTGCGACCTTCCTTCCAGGCCATAGTGTCCGCACGGCATAGAGACCGGGTGCCGTGTTTTCATATATGTGTATATATGTGTATGTACAGTTGCGGAATTATATTTCAGCACACTTGCCGGGTCCTACTTTTGTACATCTGGCAACCACACTCAGTAAACATAGCGTAAACAGTATTTTTATGAATGGGGCTAAAATCCTGGGTAGTTTGTAACAAGGAGTGTGGTTGGTCGAATATAGATGATCAACAAAAGTATCAAAATCTATTTTGGACATTAAAT